TTTGCCAAAGTTTATAAACTGTACCTATTTTTCGCCCCACTAAATCGTCCTTGCGTATTTCTAAATATATTAGCGCATGATTTAATTCACCTTTCGGTTGAAAAAGCATCTCACAATAACTTATTTACAGGATCATAAATTTTCGACCAAGTGCTGATGTCTTTCTCTTCATTAACAGCAAAGGCAAAGAACATAAAAAGGGGAAAGTTTTGTCATAAAATTGAAAAGTTTTGTGTTGATGTTTACTATTATTGAAAAAATTTAATATCGTCGATTTTTTTTAATCTAATTTAATAGCAATTTAATAGCAGTATTAGTTTCAAGTAAAATTCTATATAGAATCATCTATCAGAGAGGCTCATTAGTATCCGACGTTACATTTATCAAGACATTATGTCGACAATTAGGCTATGGCATTCATAGCTGATATAAACGACATATGAATTTAGTGTGGTTTTATATGGGCTATGTCATACAGTGATAAATACTTTTCAATAATTAAACACATTTTTCTTTAAATCATCACAAACGTTTCGTCAAACTAATGCCAATACCTCCTGATATATTTGCAGCACCTCCATCGGATTACAGTTTCCGATCAGGGACTCCCAAATAACCCTAAGATCCTAAGTCGAATATGTACATGTGACTTGCCTTAATATTTTTCAAAACATACTGTTGCTAAAACATTTGAATGTCAGAAAATATCCAGGAGCTGCAGAGTCAATAAAAACGAACGTCGACCTACTAACCCAGAAGCGATAGCCGATAACTGGAGCAGTAGATCTATAGCGAATCGCATTATTATCATGCAGGTCCGTTTTAATCCATTGTTATATCCCAGGACACGATGGCCGAATTTCATTTCATCTACATTTTATATTGAAGAGGACAGTATATTTAATATAAAATCGTCAGTATCTATCAATGAAATTCGAATATTTGTAAAACAGCTGGTATTGTACAATGAAATATTTAATTTACTTGACTAATTCCATGAAATTTGCTTTGTGACATCCATGGGTTTTTCTTTTTTCCAAAAAGAATTTGAAAATCAGAAAATTACGTTAGACGGGTAAATAACTAAATCAAACCTAAGAACTTAAATAAAATGTAAATTTGAGGATACATGTTATTGCAAATGGTGTTGTGGTTCTCAAGCATGCAAAGCCTTTCTTTATTTATCAACAATAGCCATGCATGTTACGAGATCACAGCATCATCTGCTTAAACAGCCATTGCTTGAATAATGGAAAACATTGCACCATCGGATTCCAACAAAAGAACGGAAAATCCCGTCCTTCTCCTGTCGCCGTCTATGAATTCTGATAGTGTCATTCAAATACAATCGGGAAACGGTCACAATCAATGCTTGTGAGTATTACCAACTATTGTTTAAACGAATTAAGCGTTGTTTCATCAACAGACTGAAATATTATTTTATACCAAAAAAACATGCATTGCAATTCATATTTTTATCCATAAATATTTCGTGTTTACATAATAAATAGTTACAGCACAATACGTTATTTGCTTAATCTAGTCAGAATCAATACAGTTGTACGGCAATGCACACGGTCCACAAAGAAATTATTTCAAGTATCTGAGAGTGTGTTATTTCAAAAATACAATAATATCGACCTGCAATGCTTTGGTCGAACCATTGTTCACAGTTGTGTTTTTTTTAAACGCTGCTGCGCAAATAGTGCAATGGATACATGTTGTGTAGTATATGTGGTATAAACATATTTAAGTGATAACATAAACCCCTGCTCAGTTGCATGTATGTACTGCACAATAATTGCCAGAGTAATACTATAAGACAATGACATTTTCTGATCTACTGACATGGAAAAAACAAACATAAAAATTGTTACCGAAGCGAAATATATCAATACTTTTGATGGTGATTTTACCGTTACATGTTTGATGACTCTGTTAGAGGATTTTTTTAAGTTCGGAGGTTGGCCGCAACAGTGAACTGTAGCTTGAATTTATTCTTGCGCGGTTCACATTAGATACTTTAAATAACAATTATCTATTGCAGTAAAGAGTTGTGAATATGTAACGTTGTAATGGGTGTTTTCATAGTCACTTCTCCGTCTTTGCTGTACTTCGTTTACGTCCGTTTTGGGACGCCCCAGGTAAGTGGTTTCATTCTTTTGACGTACAGTACAACTGATTAGTCCTAAACTAACTACAATGGTCATATGATGCAGTAAAGGTTTACTACGTTTGACTTTCTGTATCGACTTACTACAGTTATAAATAGACAGATCCTCATTTCGTTTTTCTTACAATTATTTCTCGGCAAATAATTAAAATAAATCACTACTGAATCTTTGAACCAATAATCCCTCACAAATATATATATCCAAATCATTTGCGCTATAAATATACACGTAGGTTTAAATAGTTGTTTTGGTAAGGAGTCCCTTTAAAACATTGAAACTGAAACTACTAAATAGCTACATCTGTATTTCGTATTTTTTTAACAATAAGTAAAATAAATCACTAATAGATCTTTGAACTAATAATTCCTCCTCACACAAATATATATCCAGATAATTTGCGCTATAAATATACACGTAGGTCTAAAATAGTTGTTTTGGTAAGGAGTCCCTTTAAAACATTGAAATTGAAAATGCTTGGCTGAGATTTACGGTAACACCCTTTGTTGTTGTTTACTGTTACGTTAAGATGTAGGTAGTATGTAGGACGGACACGGTGAATAGCGGCTACGGACTCCCGCGAGGCGATATAATTTACAAACTATTCAGCGGAAAATTTAAATTGCTGATGATATCATTTTTTTTATTCGGATGTCGTATCGATCAGAAATGTGGCACAAATCATCGCGCATAACAAATCGTTAATGCTAACTCCAGTTATTTGAATAATGATCATTGAAAGGTCACTGAGTACAGAACCTCGTATACGAATGAAACATTCACAGAGAATATATTATTCGTAAGTATATCATTTGGCTTAATGTTACAAAGGCTATCTAATCTGAATAGTTATATTTTTGAATCGGACATTCACAAAGCGTGTATATGTATTACATTAGCTCTACAGATGATTTTCTGACGTTCCCGAAATCACCTAAATAATTCGTTGTTCCCTTATGTCTGTAAACAGACTAAATGATCTTGTTATAGAGTGACATACAGAAACACATACATACATGTACACGTATACATAATAATATTTATACCTAATAAAACAGAATATCGCAATTTGTATAACCGCCGAGCGATTCACATTTCACAAGCCGGGTGACGAAAATGATCATGTGGATTAAGAAACATAAACAATGCATGACTTATTTTCGCGCTCATCAATTCATTATCTGGTGAAGAATACGTCTTTATTCATGTCCCGTTCCCGTCTTCGTCCCCGCCCCATGTCTATCCCCTTGGGGAATGCATGAATATATATCTAGACTACAGGTATAGGTATTGTACAATATGATCCGTTTGGTATTTACTACACAGAGGAATCTACGTTATTATAGACGTCGAGGGAATGGCGCCAAATGGAATGTACTAACGATATCTATTAGTGATGTAAATAATTCACGGCGCTTGTGTTCATCGTCGTAATAATAGCTAATCACTTGTCAAGAGCATTGTTAGCTTTTTACTACAATTAGTGCGCAAATATTTCTTTCGAATACATTTCCAGACGTAAATATCAATTTGGTGTTACAGTTGTTTATTACTTTATAAAGAGCCACGAATATAATTTGAAAATTGTAAACGCAACAATACTGGGTAATGTAAAGATAAGCGTTGCGCTGTAAATAAATCTTTAAGATTTCAAAACTTTTTAGGGTCTGCGCTCTGTAGTTCGGGTATAGCGGAGACCAAAGTGTAACCCAGTATTAGCCTTACGAGAGTTAGATTAGAGCCATTTATTTAGTGGAACTCTACGTGAATTGGTAAACATTGTGAAATAAATTTGTGTTTATTTATTGATAAGGCGCGGCGAGTGTACTCTGTACCCCCAAGATCCCCATCCCGTCCCGTCACCGAGTCCTGGGATGACTGCGCGCGCAGTCTCTAAAATTGGGTCACCCTATCCTGAATACATAACGGGAACTGTAGACCCAAACAGGCATTGTGGGGGTCAGGTAACGTCGACCATATTGTCTAGGTGTGGTATATGTAATCGGACTGCGGAGTTTTCGATGACTTTATATCGGACAAACAAAAATAATAACATAATGTGCATTTTATCAAATTCAAATCTACACCAACCCACGAAGGCAATCCTTGTGTCATTGAATAAGCATTGGGTTAATGCATTGTTTAAAAATGTATGAACTTAACACAACGTGTTTGATGTACAGTGACAAATAAACAAAAGATTTAGTACAAATATCGCATGGTTGTAAAATAAATGATTGAAATGAAATTTAATATCCATGCGCTGAAAGTTATCAAGGTAAATGGGAACGTGACACGGAAAAATGAGAGGTTATGCAAACCCTATTACAAGTCCAATCCCTACTACACTAGTTAACTTTTTATATGCAACCTGTCATCGACAAATCTCAGATAAAACAACAGAATTTTAAATAGTGTGAGCGTTTACCACTTAACTAACATTGACGTAGCTTGTTAACGGTGTGCGACATCCATGCAATAATTGGCATTTATTGTTCGAGCGAACTTTAAGACCTTTCCGTAGTTTTCGGGTCGCAGTGATGAATACAATATTAAAAATAGAAACGTTGAGTGATTCTAAACAGAACCACTTCCTGGTGACAATTACAATTTAACTTGGTCAGTCATTATTAAATGTTTCTGGAAAAAAGGGTTCATTATAAATTTATTCGAGAATGAACAATGTATATGTATTCAGTGTTAGTATTTATGTGTGTAAATATTTAAATATTAAAATAAACGTATGTGTAAATTAAATTGTTATAATCTCAACATGCAAGGCTTCATCCTCATGTGATGGAAGTCTTTGGAATAAGATTAAAGACTTACCTGGAATTCCAAACCATATCTTTCTCGAAGATATTCTTTTAATTTTGGGTAAACATTCTCCATGAGTGCATTTCTTTCAATTGTTGTGTCTGTTGGTGAAAGAAAATGAAAATGAACAATGAAAATAAACAATGACAATAAATTGTGTTACAGTGATATTTATAAACATTTTCTCCATGTGGTACAAATGTAAGTATGGACTGTGAAAAGAGTCATTTAACACAACCAATACAGGTTTATGTGTGACATTTCGATGACTAGTACGGTATGTACTCTGTCACCATCCTCAGACAAATGACCCGTGAAGTGTATGTACACAAAGGTGTAAAATATGTACGAGTGTGTGTACAAAAATTGACACAAAATTGAACAATAAGCCCTTGTCAAATCCTTCGACACCTCTCCAACCTTTCTTTTCTTTCTTGTCCGTCTCTCTCTTTGTTACTGTTTTCTTTCCTATATTCTTCTAAAACAGTACAATGGTACATAACACTTGATATCCTGGTTTCAGCATGAAAAAATAGTCAAACTGATTTTTTTCTATATTTTTAATTTGTTTGTTTCTAATCTACAATGCATATATAATATTATTCTATGTATCTTGTTTCAAACTTATAAAGAAAATAATTGGGTTTTTTTCTGAATTGGTATCGTATTTGATATAATAATTATGAGAATGTTAAAAAGAATGTCAAGGCAGACAATAAAACTTGTGTGAAAATTAAGAATGTGTGACTGAAATATAATGTGTTATGTTTTTTTAATGTACTGTTGAAAAACTTCAAAAAGAAAAAGAACAAAAATTGTAAAAAAAATAATATGTACGAGTGTTCAGAGTGTTACAATGTTACAGTGATGAAATAATAAGACAAACTCATGCATCAAATACATTAAAACAATGTAGCAATCAATGACAAAAAAACTGAAATATGAACGCAAGACACACACACACACGTGATTGCATGTTTGATAATAATTATATACAGCATGTCCAATAAAGAATTACACAGCACCATACAACTATTTGGATCGTAAGAGGCAACTAAATTTGGGATCTTATCTTTTCTCCTTTCTAAACAACTTTCTTCTTCCTAATTTCTCCCTTGACAATGCCTCACTTTTGGCCTTTAGTTGAGCGTTCGCCCCTATGAGGAAGGCTTTTGGTTCTGTCCCCTAGCCGAGACATACTAGAGTCTGTAAATAAATGGTAGTTTCTTATCCTGCTTAACGCTCAGCAATTTAGGAGTGGGACGACTGGTTCGCCCGTTGTCAGTATAATGTGACCGGGTGGGGTGTCCTAATGGGTGTGTTCGGCAGTATGTTTCAGTGAGGTAAAGTTGGCATCAGTTCTGCGCTATCACAAGGAGACAAACACGAACATATCGCAGCCTCCCAAAACACACACACATACACTACACTCATGCATCTTACACACAGGGGAGGCCGTCGTTAAATGACCATAGCTGTTGATAGGACGTTAAACAATACCAAACCAAACCAATCATAGATTCCGGTAGAGTGTTCAATACGCGTGCTGACCTCACAGTGAAAGAGTTCCTTGTTGGTGTTGAGATGTGGAAACAGTTTTTTGGAATATCCTCTTTTACTGTGTTTGAAAAATTTTAAATCACGTATGGTCATAGTGAACAATACCACTAATCAAATGCAATTTACAAAGGATATCAGCATCACAGCAAATATTGGCCACTACGAAACTCATCAGCAGAGAATCAGAGAAATATAATTTATATCACATGCATGTGATACATGTACCTGTATAATGATTTTAATATTTTTTAGTGTGGAATAATTCATAACTAAATGCAAGCTGAAATATATTATTGTTACCAAAAGGGTATTGAAAACATTTGCTATTAAACGTTTAATTGTAAGGTAACAACACTTATAAGGAATCCTAACCACATAATACCCTCATTACTATGAATATATTGATTGTGTTTTGACATTTTGTGAAACCTCTCGTAATTCAATGATACGAAATTATGTCATATATTTGTGGTAAACTGTACAACAATGCTACATAACATATTGTTTTAACCCTTTCACCCCTACGTAACTTAAGTAGACTCTACCATGCATTGATCTGGATGAGTCCATTAAGGTCTACAGTGGTAAAAGGGTTAAACTGTAGTAAAATGCAGATGTTTGAAAAAACTTATTACATTAACTCAATCACCCCTGAAGACACATCGAACTCAACCAATTCAAAGGATGGAATAGTTCATTATGACATTTCAGGGGTGAATAAGTTAAAAAGCCAAGCAATGTTTAAATTGATTGAACTACTGGGTGTGAAAAATACAAAAAGAAATAGCGAACTTAGGGAAATATATAAAATCTGCAAATTCGAGAAGAACTCAATTATTATAAATAGCTTAGTTACACTCTCCAAACATATTATAATGCTTTTATTTGTAATTATGTTGTTAGTGGGTGTAATGTTGTGTAATGTTATTTTGTATTAGGCACTGTAAATATCGTACTTTTGTTACTTTGTAACTGATGAGTCGAAAGACTCAAAGTAATAAAGAACGTGAACTTGAGATATTAGAAATTGATTATTATGTTATATAATAAACATGTCTGATATTCTTTTTGATATTGTGTCAGATTTTGATTTAGCTAGCACCCTGTCGGGTAGTCCATTATATTATGAACACTGTATCATCTCAGGACATTTTAGGTTAGAAAGTATTACGCTTGTACGTAACATAATGGAAATAATACTGTAAATGATCATTGTTTGTTGTACATACATGTATGTTAGCAGTACCAAGATCAAAATAGCTTTATATCTCCTTACTTATAAAACAATCCGTGCTGTTGTGTCACAAAATTTAAACGCTCAGTATACTTTATAAACGTTGTGAATGTACACATAGTGTTCACTACATTTCTTAACTTCATACGGTTATTAGTCTTACTTTTGGCTACTCTATTCATTTAATTGGGTTTGGTTTGTTTGTGTTGTACGTCCTATTAACAGCAATGGTCATTTAAGGACGTGCCAGATTTTGGTGGTGGCGGAAAGCCAGAAAACCCGGAGAAAAGTTACTGACCTGCGGGAAGTACCTAGCGACTGACCCGTAGGTCTTAAACCCGCGACCAAGTGGAGGAGGGTTAGTGGTAGCAGAATGGCAGACGCCTTTACCACTTGGCCACCGCGGCCCCTTATTTAAATAAGGCATTCTTCGCTTCCTATCTAACAATAAAAGAATAATAACGTGTGAAAAGGCCGTGATAAGAACTCCAAGTCAGTTAAACCAAGTCGAATTATGAACAAAAGAAAAAAAAAATACATGGAAATCCAAGGAACAATAGAATAAGACCAATTGTTCCGGAAGGGTAAGCGTCTTCTGCTTCATCGACAACACCATCCATAGTACAATTATAGGTCAATACCAAATAATTACAGAACCTCAAAGTGAGAATCGGGGTAGTGTAAAAGAAACCATGCTCATAAATGTATGTGTTACATTCACGCACAACTGATAACATGAATTGTAAAATGTCTGCTTTCTTGTTTCTTGATACCTTTTTTTGTACCTGAATATGTTACTTATTGACCTCGATTGATATTTAACGTTATATCAGCTCATGTACGTACCAAAAAGTAGCACAAGTGTATAATTCTTAAGGATTTTCAATTGATACTACCCGGTCTTGGGGGGAAAACCTCCCACATGTTGATATATAACTGTATCAACCACCTCATCGAGGGCAAAGGATTGTTGAATGTACTATTTGAATAATTCCAATTATTCCAAAGTAGGTAGCTGCATGCTGCTCTGAGATTGTATTTCAACATACTGTATTATTTTTTTCAAGAGATAGGCATTTGCATAATGCTTTTTCTATTCATTTTTTGTGCCCTTTGCCATATTTCGTGCAATTTAAGTCATGTTCACCGAGTTTGTTTACAGGGTATGCATATACACTGTTACAATCGAAAAATCCAATAACACGAGGAACTAACCCTTCTGAAATAATTCTCAATAAGGATCGCCAATGTAGGTCTGGACATTTATCTATTCACTATACCTCACAGCTGATTTATCCAGCCTTTGAATCTATTCAATTCATGTAAATTCAATAAAGATGCGTGCATTTTTTGAGGTTTTCAGTTTCGCTTCAGAATATTATTAAAACATTTTGAAGATCCCGAATTCGGGTCAATTTGACGCTTGTCTTCTCAGGCTAACTTATATTTATTTACCAGCATGACAATTCTACTCATCAATTTATGTTTGTAACTACGTTTTATTTGTCGTTATGTTTTTTTTATTCTGTTAACTTATTCAGGGTCTTGAAAACCGTTAAATTATAAAAGCGTTTGAATTTTATTGGACCGGCCTTCACTGGGGCGTTATAATGCTAACATCTTCACGCTACGTTAGTCGTACGACGGACGATGATGCTTCTATAAATGTGTGTTTAAAGTATATGTTAACCTAACGTGCCTTGCTTAATGATTAATAATGCATAACCAATTGGTATATATATATGTTTATAGTATCATATATGACTACCGAAAAAGAATATGGATAATATGTTTATGAGTGCATGAACCTCAAATGTGCCAACACATCCTAACCTTAGCGACTGCTGATGGACAAACTTACCACATAATATTCCCGAGGTGCATAAGTTGATGAAGATTATGGGCAATATGTATGGTTACCGTCATGAACTCATAATAAATATTTCATAACATTGTGCGATGTGAAGGTCCGTGTTTTTGTTCATGTTGTGTACCTTGTGTTTATATTGTAATTGCCACGGCTCTTCCTTTGAGGACCTGGTATTACTTGGAGTAACTGTATACATCGGCCTGAGGATGCAATGCATAAGACCACTAGCTAAATTCCGGGTAGACTTAATCAAACTTGATAAATTGTTTTTAAAATAATGGTAAACCCAGTTGCTATGGTACAATCGCTGGTATTACACTTCAGAAAACCTCCCGTAAGACTAGATCTATCAACAATTTGACACACTTATTTATTCATTTGGGCCATGTTGACAGTCCATGATATACATGTTTTGATTTAAAATATTTTCTCCCGGGATACGTAAGAAACCCATTGGAAATAAACCCAATTCTAAGAACCACACTAGGAGTAACTGGCTAGTCGACTTCTTTGAAGAACGGGTTAAACTGGAGGAACATAGGAGGATAGAAACGCCAGGCCAGGAAAGTCTAAGCGTGATAGGCATCTACTATTCTCAAAAAAGTATGGAGTGACAGGAACACCAAGCCGAAGTCTAAACTCTAATTTCATCATCTGATCTACTATATGGCGAAGAGGCTGAACACTGGAACATTTTGTTTTATTAAAGGTTTCAATTCTTGTACCAGCTAAGGTCATGCAAGGAATGATTCCACGATACAGTGTAATTCCAGCTGAAAGAGCTTATAGCTGATGCGAGGACGCAAAAGCCAAGAACAAATAAAAATTATCTCCGATGCATACTATATCCGCTATAAGGTTTATATGTTGACACTTTTAGTTTACTTTCTAGACATACTTCGCATGAAATAAGCCTTCGAAAACTTATCCCATCTGCATATCGCCTGTTGTGATGACACAGGGAATAGTATAATTCTCATTACCAAACCTGATGATAATACTGGTCATATTACCATTATTGCAAAGTGTTTTGGTCCTGTGCATATTGATGTATCCTCTAGCATTGGACAGGCAATAATGTAGTTTAGACCGACTAAATATGTCAAACATAATGGCAGCTAATGTTACGTTAATGTAGACGAGGCTAAACTGTATTCATAATACAGAACAAATATTGAATTTTGAAAAGAATTTTATTGTTAATCAATATTAAATGGAGGAACTGCAGACAAGGGTTGGGGATCTAGCGCGAACACAGAGTAGATAACAGAGAAATGCTTTGTTTTATGGCCTGTTTCTGATAGCGATAGTGGACAATACCGGATGTTTGACGCGCGTGACTACGATAAGAGTCGGAGATGGTCTGATTTCTCCGGTCGTATTATTCTATTTTTATCTTGACGTCGATGAGTTAAAATCATATTTTGTTTGTTATTAGGCTGACGTGTTATTGTCCGATATGTAACGATAAGCAATTTTATCATCCTGGATTTGCCCTGTGCTCTATAGCCATTACGGCAAACGTATAATTGAATGCATTGTGCCATAACGTGAAACTTTTCAAATACCTATACATTAATCAAAAACATATATAGAATTTACCTACTGACACACAATCAAAAGCAAAAGATTTAAATTTAAATCCGTACTTAAGACCATATGTATAAACCCTATTCAAGGCCGTGCGGTTCTACTCCAAAACAACTTGTTGAATTCGACCTTTGAATAATTTGACAGCCGGACTAATCCAACATAATCAGGTGTATAAAACCTGTTTATTCCGAAACCATGTGTTATCTGTATCACGGGGTGTCGGATGAGACAGGTTTCGCTATAGTGCATTCCCTCAAAACACTGCCACACACCTTATTCAGTGTAAGACTTGTTACAGTAGCGATGTTCGGACCGTANCCCCCCCAATAGTGCTATACCATAACTGAAGACGGCATTTTTACAGAGAAATTATCTAAACCCCCTAAAACGTTTAATATTATTAATATCCTCGAAATCCCAGGGGTTTCGCTCATGTATATATATAGAGATCGTTAAAAATCGTAACCCCTAAAATATCGAGGATGATGAATAAGTAAAAAAATATATATATATATCGGAAGTGCATCTGAGTGTGTTTTTTATATATATATATGAACAACTGTAGGTCCTATATGCCGCTGTAAATGACGTCATATTTGGTGACACAGGGACTTGAGAATTTGTTACAGTTGGTGTACCTGACCTGGGTCTATTCTGACGTATTGAGAGAAAATATCAAACTTTTAGATGATGGTGAAACGTCTCTCATATTACTCTCCAACACATCGAAATAGGTCTGAACATGCCAACTGTTACAAATGATCAGGTCCCTTTGTTTAATGGTGGAAAGTATGAACGGGATATTAATTATTTAATTAATGTAATATGCTAATTAATGTTAAGTTGTGATGTTTGTCTGGTTGGTTAGAGCTACGCCACACCTTCTAGCCTCACAAACACACTGACACATAGAGCTTAGACAGAATCCGTGGGATAATCCTACAAATACACAAAGAAGACTTCAACAAAAATAGGATTACGTTCAATTGACGCGTGGTATTCAATTAGCGCCCAATGTGAATAACTTATAGCGGAGTGTTGTTGCAAGAATCAAACCTGCAGGTTGTTATTCCCGATGGTCTAGTTAGCTCTATATATATCGGCCTGTCAGTTTCGTTCATATTTATGAGATTTCTTTTACATAAAATGAATTATTAAGAAAACATCGTACTTCTAATTTTTGTTTATCCTACAAGAAATGTTATTGAAGTTAATTTTGAATCAAGTTTACAAGTAAAATTGTATACATTCAGACAACACCGTTTTTACGACATATGTGCAAAGCTTACAGTGCGTTGAGTCGGTGGTCGAACATTTCAGACGAATGTCTGAAGTATTCTTCGATGACTTTAATCTTTAAATTTTAAATGTCAATTTGTTCTGCTGTGGTTGGTAAAATATTGAATTGTTTTTATTAAACATTAGTGTGAAATTCAGGGATTTAAGACATCGTTTTATTGATAACAAGACGACCTCATGAGAACAAATTATCATATACGTTTTTCGATATATTACTGTTCTTTCTCTCTAAGGTAATTAAAGGACGTGCCTCCATGTATGTTGTGTATGCGTGCATGTATGTATGTGTGTTGGAGACAGGGCATGTTTGTGTAATTGCCTTCTCGTGATGGCGCGGATCTATCGTAAATGGACAAGAAACAATGCCGAAAATATTGGAACTCCTTCGTTGGAGACACAGACGCCGGGACACTCTATAACTGTACCTTAAGTCATCAACAATCATTCATAATCACTAATTAGGTTGTAGGGGAATAAAACAAAACATGATAATGTAATTAGTAGTAAATACTTTCACGCTAATATTGTAATCTTTTGTAAAGGTATATGTATGCTAATCAATTCAATTGTTGCTCGCTCTCTGTCTGGTTCAATTAGTTAACAATTTCAATAAATTCTATTATTCTTTGATATCAGGGTCAAATATTTCGTGGCCTTTTATTTGTTTTGTGTCAAATAGTTAAACAGAAAAAATACAGTGGCCATGCATCAAACCATTAATCTATTTTCTCTCTATTTAAATCGTTAAGAAACGGGCCCATTACCAGTGTGGCCTACATACATGTATGTGTGAGGTTATCTTCGATAACAGTTATTTTTTTTTTATAAAAAATAATTTTGAATTTATATTCTTGTATGTACAGTTACATTATTAATACATTACATGTGACAAGTTAATGGTTTGTAGGTTGAAATAATGGTTTCAAAACTTTAAGTTTGTTAACAAATTCTACATCATTTCTCGAGCTACTATTGCATTGTAGTGTATTGTATTGTACTGTATTTTATTTTATTGTATTGAATTGTACGGTATTGTATTGTACGGTATTGTATTGTACGGTATTGTATTGTACTGTGTATTGTACTGTATTGTACTGTATTGTAGTGTAGTGTAATGTACTGTATTGTATTGTACTGTACTGTATTGTACTGTACTGTATTGTACTGTACGGTACTGTATTGTATTGTATTGAACTGTATTGTATTGTACTGTACTGTATTGTATTGTATTGTACTGTATTGTACTGTACTATACAGTATTGTATTGTATTGTATTGTATTGTATTGTACTGTATTGTATTGTATTGTACTTATTGTACTGTATTGTATTGTACTGTACTGTATTGTACGGTACTGTATTGTATTGTATTGTATTGTATTGTATTGTATTGTACGGGACTGTATTGTATTGTACTGTACTGTACTGTATTCTATTGTATTGTACGGTATTGTATTGTACTGTACTGTATTGTATTGTACTGTATTGTACTGTATTGTATTGTACTGTATTGTACGGTACTGTACGTAACTTAAGTAGACTGTATTGTATTGTATTGTACTTTATTGTAATGTACTGTATTGTACTGTATTGTACTATACTGTATTGTACGGTAATGTATTGTATTGGATTGTATTGTATTGTACTGTATTGTACTGTACTGTATTGTACGGTAATGTATTGTATTGTATTGTATTGTATTGTACTGTATTGTACTGTACTGTATTGTACGGTACTGTATTGTATTGTACTGTATTGTATTGTACTGTATTGTACTGTACTGTATTGTATTGTATTGTACTGTACTGTATTGTACTGTACTGTATTGTACTGTATTGTATTGTATTGTATTTTATTGTATTGTACGGTACATTATTATATTGTACTGTACGGTACAGTATTATATTGTACTGTACTGCATTGTAATGTGCGGTACTGAATTGTACTGTACTTTACGGTACTGTACGGAATTGTACTGTACGGTACTGTATTGTATTGTACTGTACGGTACTGTATTGGCGTAACCTTTCCATTTATACACTATCACCGACATCATTAAAAACAAACTTCGTGCAAAGTAACCGCAAAGTTCACAATTCTTTCATATAACAGTGATTATTTTTTTTGTCGCAGATAAGAACAGAAATACGATATTTAAATTCAATCTTTTAAAACCCAAAGTGAGTGACAACGTTTAAACCTTACATGTGTGCATCGTAATGTTGTATATACGCTAACTGTCCTTGCCTTTTTGGGGGGTTACAGTATAAAAGATTGGAATTGAATTAATGTTCTTGTGGAGTATAATTCAAATACTGGTGTCAACATTTAAACTGAGTTGAGCAGTCATAGTAATTGCGGTCTAGTAATTGTTAAAAGTATTAAAAACATCCAACAATCTTATAGCACCTACCTGTAAATGTCGAACTTGTAAATATACGGACGATTTTGGAGCTCAGAGCCGGAAGATTCCCGAGGCAACCGGACAAAACTTTCTGTAGTTTCTCCTGCTCCTCCGGAGGTAGATCCCCTGCCTGACCCCCGGGCTCCGGGGCCGCTCCCTCAGGGGGATTTGCCCCCTCCATGACCTTTAATTCCGTTGCGCTTCAAGTCAACAGTATGTCGCATCCACACATTTCAATATATGAAGAAACTCGGAATTTAATAATATCTGCTCACATATATGATACACTGAAGGCTTTGACCATGTGTTTGTATATCCAGTTCCAGGTAAAATCCAGGTAAATCCTATATAGTTTATGACACTTTACACATCTTCAGAGTTTTACTCAGCATCTGTTTAGAAAAAGTGACAGTACATTATTAAAAAAGTTAGGTACATATTAATTAAACGTATTCATACTATCTGTGACGTCTGCGTTAGTCTACTGCTCAGGTAAAGTTGTACAGGTGAGAATGTGTCTGTCACATACAGGTGTATACGTATACCCGTGCCATATCGCAGGTATATACAGAACATGTGCCCGAGTCTATGGAAGGATTAAGGCCGGATCGAACACTTGCCAACCTTTCTGTTTGTTTGTGTTTGTATAAGAGAAATATATATATGTGTATACCAGATTCTTACTGATTGATTCCGGGACTTTTAAAGATATGTAGTCAAAATGTTCACACACCGACAGTGACAGTTTAAATTTAAAAACGAAAACTGGGTACATGTGTACGTGTATATGACACAAATACTAATATAAGACATGCCACTCGCTTGTTCAGTTAATTCTATACCAAATCAAAAACATTTCACGTAATCTGTAAAAAAAATTTTTAGAAATTATATTATTTTAATGGTTTTTTTTCTGTCTCTCTTTCAACGAATTCACACATAATACCGGTACAACGATATCATTGAACCTTGATGTAAATCAGCAGTGGCGGATCCAGAGTTTTTTTTAGGCTTCATGAACACCCCCCTCCACCCAACCCTGAGAATTTTCTCTAAAAATCATGTATTTTCANCCCCCCCCCCCCCCCCACCCAAATAGGTCTCTGGATCCGCCACTGAAATGGTGACAATTATAATATTCTGCTCAATGTTTTGATTATAAAATGCACGTGTTTCAATGTATCTTACATAACTATGGACAAAGTATGTGAATTATTGGTTTAAAATTGGATACACGTGCCGAGCCAAGTAAAGACTCATATATACATTTGATATATATACGTATTCGATCAAATGTAAATCTTAAAAACTGGTTTTTACATAAGATTTTTTTTTGTAGTTTCATATACTAACCAACACTATAACACATATTCCATAATTCGCGCTGTTAATACTCAGTAATCATATTACTATAACGGGCGTAGTAACAACATGACTTCATTCCTAAACCACCAGGCCTATATCAAACGAGTTATTCAATATCATTTTCCCCCTATATTGACCCATATGGTAAACACTCGGAAGAAATAGAAGTAAAATGTACGTACCTATGTATGGAAAATGTAAATGGTCCGTTATATGTATTCGCACTAGTACTGTCGACAGCTCTAAATATTGATTAACGAGCATGCCAGTGATATATAGTTTACTGTTTCCACCCTTCCATTATGTTTTTACTATTTAAATAGGCTTGATATATATGGACTTTCGGTATCGACAATGTAGATAATTACCCCCTACTTGACAATACCTGACGGGTCGGACTGACAGGTCATGACCTGACCTATGATCATGACCCCCCGTTCATTCGTGTCTTTTAATTTGACACCCTGTAGATTTGGTTGAGGGCTTGTGATAATCTTTACCCAGATAGAGTTGTCGTACTCACATCTCGGTCGACGGCTAAAACCAAACTTTTTAAAACCAAAAGTAGTCTCGGTAGGTTTAAGATAACTAAATACGCCGTTCTTGTAGTCGGGGAAACTAGATTTATTTATTTTTATCGTTAATTCACAAGTTTCAAAACACTTTCACTGCAACGTGCCTATATAAAATGTGTATGTAAAGTGTTTTGGCTGTTTTGGTTAATTTGCAACTCAGTCTTTTGGATGCCAATTGCTTGGATGAAAATGCAATTAATTTTAATTGAATTGAAATAAGATTTTAACAAATATTATATTATATCCTATTATCAACATTGTGATATATTAACTTCAAACTGGCATACTCCGTCACGTCTCATTACCAAAAAGAATGACAAGAGCACACTTAAAAGCTTGACAACTCTTAATCGAGCGACAATTCAAAACAAACAAAAATCCCGTTATTTTACTTATCGAATGACATTAAAAAACAAATAAGGGCATCCCATTACGACAAAGACACAAAAAAACAACTAAACTCCCATCATATTTCTTAAGGATTAACTTGAACATATGTTTTATGTTATGGAGATATAACACAAAAGAAGGAGTTCATTCTAAATAAACCGCGAAGCGGTTTATGATGAGAGTACACTCCGGTTATTTGTGTTATAGCTCCATAACATAAAAAAAACATATTCAAGTTAATCCTTATAATTTAATCTACTATACACAATCCCTGTGGAAAGAACTTTTATTGATGGACTCTTTTCTCTTAGAAATTATTACGCGGCTGTATCAGCCAATCAAAAGCGACGTTACAAACGGCGACGTCATTTTTTTACGTTATGGGCTGATAATTTTTAGGCCAATGAAAAGGTTTGTATATAGAGATAACTCCAAACAAAAGAAAATCCATCATATGACTAACAGATTCAAAATATTCAGCATTGTGTGAGCATTCGCGCGCGCTTTATCACACAAAAAATAGATATATATTACCACTTTTTATACGGCTTGTTTAACTACGATGCATTTGACATTTTAAAAATTTAGCCGAACTTTGGTATTTACAATGTCAATACAAATAAGGTCAGTTCTCCGCCAAATAGAGAGGGAGGTCAGTTCCAGGGCAAAAAAAAGTGTCGGTGGGTGGTTGGGGGTCAATAAGCGACATTAAGCGACATTAAGATTAAGATTGTGACAATTGCTGTGCCTAAGCCAAGTGACTGCGAAACGTATTGTTGAATTTAAACCTAACGGCAACCATTAAAATATCATTCGTCAACAAAACTAGAACATTTTTTTATGAATTACGTTGTGAAACTAATTCCAAAGGTTAAATTTAAGTACAGTTTACAATATAATGTGAAATTTCATATTTGACGTTTTCATTAACCCTTGGTTCAGTGTAAACATGTAGCGATCCTGCTATTGTCACAGGCTCATAAATATAGATATAGATCCGTATGGTAATACACAGTTTAACGATCGTTTGACAAAAGCTCCCTGTAAGTCCTGTGTGTGTGTGTCGGTCTATCGCGAATGGGAGACCAAATAGAGAAAAATCGGACAAAATAAAGTTGTCATGCCAATCAGACGATTTTTCTACCAGTAAATCATGTTTTTGTCGTTTTTTACTTATTTCTAGCTCATTCATATCTGTCAGTTTATATCGTACCAATTTGTCTAATTTGACTGTTTGTTATAAAATACAATGATTATGAAATGTTGAGTTAAAGGATTACGCCATACAGTGTCAAAACTACAACAAATGAATCTTTAAGTAAACCTGTTTTATATAGTCATCTAGCTGAATGAAAATCCAGTAGGTTTGCACGTGCGATGAACAAGTGCTGATATAAACAGACACACGTGTCGCCATAGATGTATGTGTACTTACTGATAACATTCAGGGTAAGTCCATCCTATTGAGAATTATCCCTGTGGACGTCCTACATGTGTGTCCCCTCCCTTTCCTAAATGACTCTCGGGTTGTCACGCGCGAGTCCTCCTCCTCTCTCAAAGTACATCCTCGCGCGAGCTCCGCGTGTACCGTGGTGACAGTACTCTCTTACATATGTTGTGAACCATTCAACGCACGGTCATGACGACAAAATGAATACACATCCACCGTCCCGTACAGCAACTATATAATAATACCACACTCGCATCCAAACGACCAACCTCGCATACCTGCGCCGGTAATTACAGGTGCGATCAATAATTTTCTCGCGATCGCTTACAACCTTTATTAATAGTTATTTTCAGGTAACTGGACCATTCGACATCATTTGTATAGCGTTAAAGCGGTCCATATGTGTGTATTGAGGCACGGTGTTTAGATTAGAATGAATATTTACGTAAAATATTCTGTCTAAATTGTAATATTGATGACATATTTTTTTTTTACATTTTAAGGTAAAGTAGGACACTATCATTAACAAAGAGCCAATGAAAACATTTATGAATCGTCAGTTGTAATAAAAAAGGAAGCGATTTACAGGCCACGAACAGAAACGGTTCATATAGATAGTATATAAGTTGATTGTATATATTACAATATAAGTAACTCTGTCTGTGTTTTGGTTTTAGTTTGGTTTTATTTTGTTAAACGTCCTATCAACAGCTAAGGTAATATAAGTACGTGCCTCCATGTGTGTTCTGTATGCGAGCCTACGTGTGTGTATGGGTGCATGACACCGGGTATGTTGGTGTGGTTGCCTCTTTGTGATAACGCCGATCCGATACCGATTTTATAGTGCTATCTCACAGAAATACCCGCCTGGGTGTATCGGTCTGAAAATGGATGTGTGTATTATGATGATGATTAAGATGAAATAATTGTTGATGATGTCATAATGATGATTTATGCGAGTGAGTGCGAGTGTCTAAATGTCCGTGCCACAAGTTTTAAAAAATCCGCAAATAAAGAAACGGAACGAAAACTCACACGAAACGCCTTAAACCACATTTGCAGCCTATGTATACCTATCCGTGTTCATCTAAACATTGTTATCCAGGTCCACCTATCATTAATAGAAGGTTTGTTACTATACTGTTGTCAAGGATACTGGACTATTGACCACTACAACATTCAAACTTCTCTTTTAAGGAAGTCCAGCTGGTGTGGAGGTCAGATTCGCTAGCATTTCTCGGCTAGGCTTACTAATAGTAATTTGGTGCTGTAGATCGAGCCCCGAACACGACGATTCAGAATTTTTTCCCTTTCGTAATTTGTGTTTCTATGCTACATATCATATTAATAACATACATTGTATGTTACACACCAGAGTGTATACTGATCTGAAGGTTTAAGATATGATATACCATAACTTTATTCACCTTTCGTAATTTGTGCTTCCATGTTACATATCATATTAATAACTTACATGGTTCAAGATATAATCTACCTGACGTAACTGTACTGTGTCAACATAATTAGTGATACGTTTTCCTTTTTTGAATTTTAATCGAAAGCATATACCTTATTGTTAAACACTAAATAAGGTGTGTCCCTGGATGTGGTGACATAGCTGGTCGGTTGCTTTACATTGGAGTATTACATAAATCTGCATGTAATTTTATTCAGGATAAGGGGGGGAATTGAAAAGGCCGTCAATGGCAAGTGACATATCGCAGAGGTTTTATAAAGAATGTATCAGCAATTCATTTCTGTAGATTTCAATGCCATTTGCCAGGGATCGAACCCAGGACCTCTGGCTTGCTAGTGTGAAGCTCCACCGCTAGGTGTTATGGTGGTATTGTAACAGAGATAATTATTTGTTCAGTGGCTCCGCCAGGAATCGAACCCAGTACCCATGGCTTGCTAGTGTGCTGTTCCACCGCTTGATATTTAGTCATTATTTCCCTGTCCCCTACCAGGGTGGCATTGTAAAAGAGATACTTATCTTTTAGTGTGCCCGACATAGACCGCTTACTATTAGTGTTTCGTTCTATCGAAATTATCTCAGGCCGAGTCGGTCGGAAGTGGCTAGTATTTCACCATGGTATGTTAACCTTTGCCTTAGATAAACACAAGTGCGCAAACAACCATTGATCAACTTTTAAAACTATCAAAATAGTTCTTTCTCGGTGTGTTCAACATTATAAAACATTTAGCTAAATGTTATAAGGGATAAAACAAGCATATTTGCGTGGTTTTGCATTTTATTGATTTTTTTCTACAAAAAGTATTTCAACTGTGTCTTGTGATATAAGGGGGTATTTTCATAACCACATGGACATTTTCTGCTTTGAGCCTGTGATACAGATTTGAGCAACACTTTATCGATGTCAGAACTGGAATTTTTCAAGGTTCTATTTTTAACGGTGAAAGAATTTCTTAGATTACCTGCAGCTTGTGCACATTAGATACAGGGGTAAACATCAGAGTTGTCACTAAATAAAACGAAATAATTCTTTAAAGGAAAGGTAACTCTGTTGTTACTATACTTCATGTATTTTTCACTGTATTAAATCTGACCGAAGGGAGACAACTCAATATAGTTTATTATCGATTTCGTTATCGCAGAAAAAAAACAAGTCTTGTTTCAATCTAATTAAAATTATATCTGCGCATCGCTCCCGTTTACTGATATGTCGCGTTGAAGATCTAACAGCATCCCATAGAGGGTCACGTCAGAGGTCACCGTGAATGCATTATCGTATTTATAACAAGCCAATCAAAATGCGACATAACTCTTTCTTTCAACCAATCAGAAAGCAGGACCTGTAGCATTCAATGCAGACACCTCGTAGCCCAAAATCTACTTTTTCGTCTGGTCCAGTAATATTGCGAAGCCTGTCATTGGTTAGTTTTAGTTTCAGGTTGTTAAACTTGTTAACGATAACATCACCAGAAGAGGAAGTCTCTCTTATTTCAAAGCAAAATCCACAAATTGTACAAACGTTGTCTTGTAGATAGACACGGCGTGGTGTCATGGGCGCCGCCATTTTCGATGCTCATTTGACACCTCTCGGTCTTTTACCATAGCAAGTGTGTTCCGAAATCATTACATCATCACTTACAGAAATGCGTAAGCTCTCATCTGATTGGTTAATGCAAAGGTCACCTGAACATGACCCTCTACGGGATGTTGTTAGATCTTCAACGCGACATATCAGTAAACGGGAGCGATTGAAAATTTAATTTTAATTAGATTGGTCTTGTTTTATTGAGAATATAGTATTTACCAGCCAGATGGCGGTTTTTGTGATTGTGAAGTGTACACCATGTCTGTATCATAGGATAAGCATTTCTTAGACTAGTTGACGGAGAAAAATAAAAGTAATATTCAAAGATATATCCTCATTCGAAAGTGTCCTCAAACTATGTACTGATGTATTAACAAGCCATTCGGATTGATATGTCTCGCCTGTGCCCCGCTTTGACGCTCAATGCACATATCAGAGAAACTAGCTTAAACGCGAAAACTGAATGTTGATGGAGATGCTGATCAACTCAATGGACCATGAAAGGTACGCTGCGTCCAGCATTTGATGCATGGGTTGAGATGTACTACCTAAGATGCATGTATGGTCCAAGGTTGGTTGGTGTAGCACTAATACTGTCAGTGAAACTAACTTAAACGCAAAAACTTCATGTTGATGGAGATACTGACAAAGTGACAGAAGAGTATGTTGTTGTACTTGCCTCCTTGTGATAGCGCGGATCTGATGCCGACTTTATAGTGCTATCTCACTGTAATACCATGCCGAAGGCATTCCTACCGGTTACATTATACTGACAACCGAGCCGTTTTCGTTTAAACGGTTGAACAAGTCGGACCACAGTTGTTCATTTATTAAATAAAGTCGGACCCAGTAATCTGATGCTGCTTACAGACTCTCCTGCAGGTCGGGGATAAAAAAGACTTCATTGAAATGAGATTTTACAGAATGGAAGAAAAACAAATTCTCACAAAATTGCCATATTTTCCAGGCACCAGGTTTTCAATATTTGAAAATTCGTTTGGAAAGAATCACTTCAAGTATAAAAAATATGAACTCTCATAAAACAACGATTAATTCAATGAAAAATGTAGAAATGCCTGAAATATGAGGCAAACATGGTTGGTTTGGTGGCGCAATGGATAGCACTTATGCCGCTTACCAAGGCGGCTGGAGTTCGATTCCCAGATCGTACGCGAAAATTATGGGGTCAACTGCCCGACCACGTGGGCTTTCTCCTGGTACTCCGGTTTCCTCCCACATTAAGACCCCCTTGCGCTTACATCCGGGCCTACACGGTTGATTAATATAAGTTGAAATAACAATTACAAATACTTGTTGTAACGTAAATAAAGTTTATATTTTTATAGCATAAAAAGCGCTACAATATTTATGACCACCTACTGTACATCCAATATAGATATACATGTATAAATGTATGTATTAATGATATATATTATGTACCCGTACGAATAAATAATTTTAAGTCAGGCTGTAAGGTTTCAGTGGCGGATCCAAGGGTTTTTTCTTGGGCTTCAGGAACACCGAGCGATCATTGGTTGTCCAATCATAAGCCTTCTCTCCAGCCTCGGGACCAATCACTGAGGTCGTTGACCATCCTTTGTCCTCAGAGGCGTCATTTCCCTCCCTAATTTCTCCCACCCAAATTTATAAATGTAATGTGTTAGTTTCACTAGACGTCGTTATTTATGTACGGCTTTGTAATTTATACCACTGTTTTATTTCTTTCGGTTTCCGCATCACGTCAGCAGAGCGTAACCTCACCTGTTAGTGCGGAGGACGTTTTCTCTGTAAATACGTCAGCTCGTGTTTCATCAATGACATTCGAAGCCATCACAGTCCTGTTTTATCGCGTGGTGCTATATTTGGAAACAAACATTAACACTATAACAGTACATTGCTCTCAAAACGATGCAGCATTGCCAATCGATACGCTGTTTAATGTTCGTAGAATCTCAATATATAATTCAACTATCTAATAATGTACTTGGTCATGTTTGATGCTAGTTCAAAAATAAACAATGCAAACTTTATTAGCTCACCTGGTCCGAAGGACCAAGGTGAGCGTATGCCATACCGTGGCGTCCGTTCCTAAAACGGGACACATTTGGGAAAGTGGCCAAAGGAATTGGCAGGTTATGGAAACAAGTCCTTTAT